TTTTTATAGATCTCTTTGTTTGACGTATGTAAGAGAGACCACATTCACAATCTAGCTTGTACACACCTGCATCTTGTAGAGGAATATTACATTTGATGGATGGTAAAAATTTACTAATCTTCTTCAGCGGCTTGTAGTATGTCTTAATGGACGCTCGCTTCAAGATGTAACCCATCTTGTCCGTGAACTCCTCTGACATATGGTAGTAGAGCAGGCGCGCGCTCGACTGTGGCCGGCTTCACTCGTTCACTGTATTTATACGTGTGAATTGATATTTAAGTGGCTACACGGGTTACGCCCACTCCCCCGTTCTATTATGTATGTATTATAGTATTCTATGGTGATAATATTATTAACCTGTGTTTGCCAACTCCGCTGTCAAGCCTGGCAACTATGGAATATATCACCCCTATAAGGCAATCTACAGGAAAAACCTAATGTGCAGTATTGAATAAATAAATAAACAGCTAATGATAAAACATCAGACATTATTTTAAATCTGTCTGTGAGTAGTATAGCCACACAAATTCGCTCTTTTTTTCTCACTGTTTTATCTACGAGAAATTGCATTTTTCTATAATTTTTATAAAGTAGAATTTACTCCGACTTATAATTGGTAGACCTCTCTTTTAGTCGCCACACACGGTCAGTTCAACTGATCATTCCAACTGATCAGTTGAAACTAATACTGTTGATGTTTTAATAAAAAATGTATTTTCGATATATCGATAAGTACACTTATATTTAAAACTCCGATATTAATATATTTATAGTTATCAATATATCGAAAATTCAAAATATTTAAAAAATATCAACAGTTTTAGTTTGAACTGATCCGTTGGAATGATCAGTTAAACTGACCGTGTGTGGCGTCCATTTCTATCTGACTGACTCGTAAGTCTGGGTGCGTATTGAGCAGGGCTGCCATCCGTCCGAGATTTTCACTTACTTTAAAAAGAGGTTATTGCCAAAATAATATTGTGTGAGATTAAACTTACTTTCTTGCCTACGTATTACGCAATTAATCATTATTAGCAATAAGACACCGTAACGCACTAAAAATTCAGTGTAACGCGATTAAAATTCGACCATACTGTAATACATCTAAATATTACTATTACACATGTAATGCAGTGTAATGTGATTCACGTAATTACACGATAACATTAAAATAGATTAAGTAGCTATACATTGCCACAGCAACACGATGTATAGGTACTGGTCAGTTTCACCACAGCCCACAGCAGTTCTCTGCTTAATCTAGCGGGATAATCACAACAAAGGTGCAGAGTTCAAGTGATTAAAACTTTACTGATATTCTACTGTTTGGCTTTCCATTGTTTTTAAATCCATTATTTGAGTTCAATGCACTTAGACTTTAAAAATTAGAGTAATTTTCGAATATGAATTCCGACTTTGTTTTAACTTCTAACGCAGCAAAGACAGAACGCACTGTGCGTTTTTGGTTTGTGCGCTTTCGTAGTGGTAACTTCGACTTAGAGAATGAACCAAGAGGAAGACCAGACACTAAGGCAATTAACGATGAATCGAATATTTTATCATGAAATCCGATTCTTAGCGTCAAGGTTTGACGTTAGATACCCACATAGATCAACGTCGGCCGGCCGTGTTGCTTTATGGTTGCCCACAATATTGAATTATTTGCTCTAAATTGATAACATAAAAAACTCTATAAATTGGTGCCTCATTAACCAACAGATGTGCATTAACGAACGCGTTAAAACTTGCCTTGTTTGGATCAGCATTTTCACAAATAAAGGCAATTTATATGTATATATAGGTATATATATGTAGTGAAAAGTGTATCTACGATAATCGCTCAGGTCAATATTGGAACCATTCCCTAAGCAAAGCTCATCCATAGTGTACTTTATGCTGTAATTCAATAAGTATAGTTTTTTTATAATCCGAAATATCAATAATGACTTATTTTTAGATACTCTCTGGAACTTCAAACAGTGATGTCAAAACTCGGGGAAACAACCCCGACTTGTCAATCGATCTTCGCAATTGTTATTCATTGATAACACAAAACCCCACAATGCTCGACAAACCTATTACAAAACTCAACTTAGAACCCATACGTCATACTCCATACTCGGCAAACCTAGCACCAACCGATTATAATTTTTCCGTAATTTGGACAATTTTCTGGAGGGAAAAAGTTTTGTTCGCAGGTAGCTATACAAATTGCATTTTTATACAAAATATAAACGAAATGACTTTTTAGAGTCGATATTTCTAGAGTTCAATCGCAAACTTAAACTTATGATAGTAAATTCAAGTCTTTGATCGCAATGGTATATAATCTTTCCCTAAGATGGTAGAAACATATTATTATATACCTTCTATTATCTACCTTACTCTATCTCTACACCTATTAGATACAATATAATTTTCTTACAAAAAAAAGTTTTTGAATTTTTCAATATAAAATGACAATTTCACAAATAAATATTTTTAATGTAACTATAATTTTTTTTTAAATTGAGAACTAAATCGACAAATTTAAGAGGAAATGCGGGTGGTCTTTTTTCCATACAAACGCTCTCGTCTCTTTGCTTTCTGGTTTATGAGTTATGTTATGTTACCCTATAGGAATGATTTTTACAGTAAAATAAATATTAAACAGCTTCTATGTCCATATGTCGTCCTTTTTGATGATACTAGGCTGCACTAAAAGTATCGGGTATGGAATATTTCCACTGTTCCTGTCATATTAAAATCTTTTTAATTGAAAACTCCTTGGTTTTAAAAATCGAATACCATTTATTTATTTAAAAAAAGATTCTCGGTCTTGTCACAAAGTTTTGTCAAACTTGTTTAGTCGTTGAGATAATGGAATTGACTCGAGAAAATTCAAGAGCGATGATTTATTATGACTTTCGAAGTGGTTTAACACAAAAACAGTGTGTTGACCGGATGATTTCTGCATTTGGTGATGAAGCCCCATCCAAAACCACAATTTATCGCTGGTTTGTTGAATTTCAACGTGGACGTGTCAAGCTCAGTGATGATCCCCGTCAAGGTCATCCAAAAACTGCAGTCACCCAAGAAAACATTGATGCTGTGCGTAAGCTGATTGAGGAAGATCGACATGTGACATACCGCGAAATTCAGACAACTTTAGACATTGGCATGAGTCAAATACAAATAATCTTGCATGAACAATTAGGTGTAAAAAAGTTGTTTTCCCGATGGATACCGCATTCGCTCTGTGAAGAGCAAAAAGCGGCTCGCGTTACTTGGTGCTTGTCAGAACTCTCGAAAAATTCCACGCAGGATCCTCAAATGCTGTATACAATATCGTATCAGGTGACGAATCCTGGATATATGCGTACGAACCCGAAACAAAAAACCAGTCACGAGTTTGGGTGTTCGAAAATGAGTTAAAGCCAACAAAAATTGTTCGCTCACGGAGTGTTGCAAAAAAAAATGGTGGACACGTTTGTCTCCAAAACCGGCCATGTTACGACTATTCCTCTTGAGGGACAAAGAACCGCAACCGCCGCATCATCCTCCATCACGACAATGCGAGTTCTCACACCGCACACAGAACAAAAGAGTTTTTAGAGCAAGAAAACATAGAATTATTAGACCATCCGCCGTACAGCTCCGACCTAAGCCCTAATGATTTCTATACTTCCCTAAAATAAAGAATAAATTGCGTGGACAGAGATTTTCATCACCTGAAGAAGCTGTGGACGCCTACAAAACGGCCATTTTGGAGACCCCAACTTCCGAATGGAATGGTTGCTTCAATGATTGGTTCCATCGTATGGAAAAATGTGTCAAATTTCGCGGAGAATACTTCGAAAAGCAATAAATACATTTTTAAATAGTAATTTTGTGTCACTTCCTTGATTCCCGAAATTTTCAGTGCCGCCTCGTACACTATCTTTATAAGCACTAGTAGTAATGTCTATTACATTACAATTACGATAAGCTCAAAATTGTCTATTAGACCGCTGTCGACAGGGGCCTAGTGTTCAAACAACTAATACTGAAAAAAGAAAAACACAGGGAGGGACACAGTCTATAGTACCTATATCCTTTTTATTCAATTTATGAAATATCTTTTAAATTAGATCAATATTGGAGGAGGAAATGGTAGACAACCAAACTTCGAATTATGCCTTTTTACTCAGGGACTTGGACTATTCAGTCGGATTTGCAGTTATCCTTACCTTACTCGTCGTTTTCTTCCAATGCCTAATTTTCAAAAGTCTCTCGGCCCGCATTTCCTGCTTTCAGATTATATAGGGATTCCTTGTATGATAAGTGACAACCCTAGCTTATTTTGTCGATTATAATCGGTATCGTAGTATGTACTATTATTTATTCTGTGTCGGTATGTAGGCTATCTACCACCTACATCGTTGAACTATTTTATGAGTAAATAAAGAATTTTAGAAGAATTTCCTAGGATTTCCGTATTCGGGACAAATATAGCAGTAAGTTGCAGTAGAAAAAAAAATTGTTTAGTGTACAAAATAATATTATGTACTTACACAAAAAATACTGCATCTTCATTTCACTCACAGTATTGCAGTTTTTATTCCAGCCAAGCCAATTCGTTTGGGAGCTTGAAGCAGCTGTTCATCGTGCTGTCGCCATTATTATTTGCCGTCTCGTTCTGGCACCGCTTTCCGCTTCCTCTCTTCCCCCCCTTCTACAAACGCCAGTCGCGCTCGATTTTCGTGGTGTGTGGACGGTGGCGTCAAGTGTGGTTATAAATTTTTATTACGGTTTCATCCTTTGTCCAAATAAACTCAAAACTGGGTTTACAAATTAATTGTTCCTTTAGAAGTAAAATTGGACAGACAATATTCACACAAAAAGTTGACCGGTGAAATTGACAGGTGTATTTCGACGTTTGTGGTGTGCATTGTGATTCCTACATAGTCGATCGAGCATGAATAATAAAGAAGTAATCAGTGACAGCGTCGCGTTTCCAAAGGAAGGTGAGAGCTGGTGATTCAAGGCGCAGTGTCAGGGTCGTGAAGTGGAGCGTGTGATGAGCCTGCGGTGACGGCTCGCCGCGGAGCGGTTGGATGGCGGCTGTAAGCGGCCCCGCGCGGCACTCTCGCGTCTCCATGAGTGTGTCCATGTCGCTGATGCAGGGCGGTACGCAGAGCGCGCCGCAGGGCGCCATCCTGGCGGCGGCGGCGCCCTATTATCAAACGCCGGCCATCCCGACGGACGTACAGCCTGACCGGCCCATCGGATACGGTGCCTTCGGTGTCGTGTGGTGTGTACATTTTTGTTATTTGTATTCATTATTTGACTCCTATGTCTTGTTTGGTCTCTATGTCTACGAACTAGTGGCACAACTTAGCTCAAAATAAGAATAATGAGAAACTCTTTATTAATTCTATATTATTTGTACAATAAGGAAAAAACATTATTTTCTTTGTAACATTATATTTATAATATTATAAAGTTATATTTATAAAACACAACTTATTTATAAAAAAACAACATGACTTTAACTTGAGGAAATTTAAAAAAAACTGAAAATAACATTATACACTATGTAATTTTGTTGAGCTAAGTAATTTTTAATGAATACATATTTATGACATTACCCTGAAACTTGAAATCACTTACTATGATAATTTTTTAATTTTAATTTCAATTATTTTACAAAGATAAATATGTTTATTACTTACTTATATTTATGATTTTCATTGTGTTTCAATTTTATCTCTTTGTGCACAATATTATTCAAACACAGCAATGTTCATGACACACAAAAATACATTTCAAGTACATCCAACTTATCCTATGTAAATTAACTTGACCTCCAAAATATTACAAATATACTCTTCTATTATCTTATTTAATTGTATTTTAAGTAATAACTATTCACATCTCGCCAGTCTAGCCAGCCTCCAAAAAATGTTAGATACAAACATGTAAAGTTTTGATGTTTGCTTTGTAATTTGTATTTTATACCATGAGTTAACATTAAGTATATAATTTGTTTGATGTATTTTTTTCTTGTCATGTTGAATAGGCTGAATGTAATAAGGATTTTATAATGTGTTCAAGTTGTATCTCTTGGGATTACTATGAAACAAAGCACATACTGCATGAATAACATGACATGATCTTATTATATTATATTGTACCGTTATAGTCTATTAAAGTCTACTGCTGCTCATAGGCCACCTCCATAGATTGCCTGATTGGGAAGATACTTGCCACGGTTGCCACGCTTGGCAAGCGGCTAGGCAGCAGTAGTTTTTTATTTTTAGTCATTATTAGGAAGATGCTGCTGCCCGTCTGATTTGTTATCCCCTGTGGTCTCTTAACACACTGCGATATGGGATAGTTCAATAGACTTCACATTGTTATCTAGTATAATATTGTATACTTACATTGACAATAATGGCTTAAAATAATTGCTTGCAAATAAAATCTGACATTGTTAATTCATACAATTAAAATCTATGTTTGAATGCCTATTAAATTTATAGATAGTGGTTACATATATCAAGAAAATTATATCATCGTAATTGTCTCTACAGCCCATCATAAGTCCACTGCAGAACATTGGCCTCCCCCACGGAGTGCCACAAAACACAGTTGTAACTCCATCTAATGAGAAGCCACCCTTGCTCATACGTGGCTGCCACTCAAGAACGTTTTGTCCTTTTGGGTTGTCGATGCATTGAAACCATTTTATTGTTTACTTATAGAAGTAAACAACTAAATCACCTTATTTAAAAGTTTATTGTAAACCAATAAAATGAAATTACTTTGAAATCCACTTGTAGCAGTCATCTTATGTTTTGCAAGTATTGTATTATAATATGTATTACTCCTATAATATACTTTAGCCTATGATACTGTAGGGATGGAAACCAACCCATCAACACAAAACACTTCTAATCATTCAAACATGTTAGTCATTGTGGTTACAGGAGGTAATAAAAGAACAAAAAAACCTACAATTTGTAATTTATATATAACAATAGATTCTAACCATTGGCCTGCTTCTGAAATATCAATCAAGCAATATTAGGCCTCTTCTTTATAAAAATTCCAGTAAATCATAATTCCTTCAACTATCTTTTTAGATCATTCCGTCATCTTTTTATTATTGTTGGGTACCATTCTGCAATATTTTTCGTGCTTTTGCTACAATTTCTCTACGTATGAACCGAGCCACCAACTCATGAGGTTGAACGCTGGGCTGACAGTAACCATGAAGTAATTATGTAATCATGAAGGAGCTGAAATTGGTGGATGACCATGCCTAATGGAGGTCCAGTCTCTGACTATCCTATTGGCTGACAGGCATGAGTTTTTATGTTATTATGTGTAACAATCTGGCCAATGTTGCTTTGATAGTACATATTAATGTTTCTGATATGTTCAATTCACTTTTTCTTTATTAATACCACTTCCATTTTATAATATCCAGTTTTCTGTGGTAATTTTTTTCAAATCCCAAGTTAGGCAGTGATATAAGTTACAGTTTGCACAGTAGGAGATTGCATGATAAATAGAAGATTGTATAGATGTTATTTATTAGATACCTTAGTTTAATACAAACACATAAACACTTACACCTGTCACCCAGAGGGGTAGGCAGACTATGGACTTCCATTTGGCACGATCCTAACACCTCTCTCGGCTCCTCCACATCCATATACCTATGTGTACATGCTCATCAGTGAAGGGTACTCTTAATTTGGCACATTTTCAATATATCGCCGAATTGGTCGATAAACTTTCGCCTAGGGCGTCCTTAGCAGCGGCTTAGAATAATAAAAGAGAATAATACCAATTTGTTTTCCTTTATGTCTATTCATTTAATATTCATGTTCAATGTGTGAAACAGACTTGATATATTTATTGACAAACTGATCACCTTTAAAACTGTTGTAATTTACTTGTTTAGAGGTTGTTCGGCGTGGAGTTGAGTATAAATCGGAGTTGTACTGCATGTTTTAGCGGCCTGGTGTGTCGCGGGAAAAACAACGCCCATTGTAGTTATATCACAATGCAGTTCGCAATACCATTGCCGTCTGTATTGTGACACGGTAACAAATACTCATTAGCAGTTTGGTCATTTCATTTTTGAAGTTTATATTACTGTTACTGTATCAAAAGAGCGCGTTAACCATCTGAGCCGTGGTAGCACAGATGGTTAGCGCTCGCTGTAAATTTCACAATACTCGAGCAAACCGGGTTTGATCCCCGCCGGCATCAATGTAATTGTTAATTGCAATTTTAAGTGCTGATTTACCACGTGCTCGGCGGTGAAGGAAAGCATCGTGGAAAACCTGCATGTTTGAGAATTAAGAAAAGAAATACATATGTCGAAGACATGTGAAGTTCGCCAACACACATTGAGGCAGCGTGGCGTACAATTCCTTGCTCTAAAACCCTCCTGAGCGGAGGCCTGTGCCCAGGAGTGGGACGTATAGGCTGTAACTTTAACCATATTAAAAAGTGTTAAAGAGTAACTACGACATCGCATTTATCAGTCAGAACAAGTAGTAAAATTAAAAGTTTAGTAGGTACAACCGACTTCAATATATAAATAAAATGAGAACATCATCAATGGTGTATAATTGACATTACTAATGTATTATACAAATTACATTAGTAATGTCAATTAAATATGCATTATCAAGGCTAACTCAAAAACTACTGGTCAGATCTTGATCAAATTTATATGGGACCACATGAGAAGCACCAGTTTCCAAATAAAAATCATCAAAATCGGTTCACCTAGAAAAAAGTTCTAAGGAAACATAAAAAACAGTCGAATTGAGAACTTCTCCCTTTTTTCGAAGTCGGTTGAAAATCGAAAAATAGGTTAGTATTCAACAATAAGGTGTTCATTTATTTATTTATTTTTTACTGCATTCCCTTTTATGAATGAATGAATATGTTTTATTGTACACCATAAACAAATTTACAAATAAAATAACAAACAGCAGATCAGCAGATTACATGTACAATTTGGCGGCCTTATCGCTACATAGCGATCTCTTCCAGGCAACCAAAGGTGTAAAGGAATAAAACAGTGAATACTAGGTAGGTGGTGCAATATAAATATACATAATATAATATCAATACATGCCATAAAATAACATATAAATAACTAATACATTGAAAAAAAAACATATGATACACATATACATACGAATATACATAAACATCCACACATATATACATATCCAAAATTCCTCAAACAATAACACAAAACAAATAAATACAACTACATAATCACATAATTTATCCTAACGATGTTCGAACGATATAGAATAGGAAGTCGCTTAAAGACTACAATAGTTTGTGCTTCACGTATATGCAAAGGTAGGGCATTCCAGAGCTTAATAGACTGGACAGTAAGAGATTTATTAAAGAAAGAACAACTCGACAACTCTTAACACTAGAGTTTGTTGCTTATGACAAATACCTTTATGCATTCTCAACCAGTCAATCTCTAGGATTGAAAGATGCAGTTGTCAGTTGTGTTTACATACCACTACCTGGCGTAGGCCTCCTCTCATCTTCCTCGGAGGGTTTTAAGGCAAGGAAAAGTCCACCGTACCTACCTCAATACGTGTTGGCAGACTTCACATATTATCTTTTTTTCTTATCTCACGATTTTCACTCCAACGCTCGAACTCGTAGAAAATCCGCATTTTAAATTTCAGTTTACGATTACAGCGGTGCGGACGGGAATCTGATTAATTTGTCCGCGTATCGTGAAATTTTAAGACGATTGCTTATCCGCAGAGATCCGACCACGGTTTTAGTAGTAGTTCTACAACTACTGCTATTATAATATTGAAGTTACAAATCCAGAATACTATCGAATATAATAGGATATTATATTAGAACTGTTTGGTTAAGAAATAGTTTGTCCACGGTTATTCTTTTGTTTATTAAAAATAATTATTCATGTTTAGAGAAATAATACATAAATACAGACAATTTTGCATGTCTAGATTTATATGTTCTTACGCTTTTATAAAGACCTGTGGAGAAGATAAGTTCTCGAATTACAGCGATGTACAGTGGTAAGAGATGCAGGAAGACCATTGATACAGGTGGCTCAAAACCGTGCCTTGTGGCATTTTTTAGGAGATGCCTATATTCAGCAGTAGACTTGTGATGAGCTGATATATAATGTGATGATGTTTTGTGCCTATCAGAAAATATTTTAAGTCAACAGCCAACATTATACTTCAATAGAGTGAAACCGGTTAATGAACCGTTGTTTATAATGTAT